TTTGTTTTAAAGATCACTTCATGTATTCATTTCTCACACCTTCATCTTCTGACCAAGCTTTTGACAGAAACTTCCTCCTTGAACAAAGGTTAGTCAGGCTTCCTCAGCCTTCTTGTCAACTAGACCCTCACTGAGACCTGCCATCTGCCTTGGTCACTGCATCCAGTCTTGGTAAGGACTCTGGCTAAGTCCCCACACATGATATATAATCAAGTCCCTTATCCCTTACCCTTAACTTCTAGGTCCTTGGGTGACCTTTAGCAAGGATCAGCCAGGAAACTGCAGCAAGGAGCCCATCCCCTTGATATCTCTACTTAGAGGTGTCCACTCACTGGCCCTTACCCTGTTCATTGGCTAAAAACATCCACATTTGTCTATGTTGTTTCTTTTCCCTACTGCAATAGCTCAAATAAAACATACCATGCATTTTTAACAAGTGTCCAATGTAATTTGTTAATTAAACTCTTCACTCTTCTGCTCCTTCTTTGGCTTTATCTCACAGGTAAAACGTTTCCATGGTTTTGTCTGTGTCTCCTATATTGTTTATCTCCTATATTGATATTCTTCTTTTCTAGGGTGTAGACATCAGAGCTTGATTGGCTCTTTATAGCATGCATTTGTGCTAATTGCCACGGCTAGAAGAGCCACAGGGTCCTAATTATCCTTGTAGGGTTTTAGCAGAAGAATCAGAAGACATAATGACCCAAATCTTGAAGACATTTGGAAACCATTTTTATGTCCTTTTCAATATGTACAAGTGGTCAAGTAATTGCAGAATAGCAAATTTCAAAGTTTTCAAATTCCAGTAAAATAAAAATAATATAATAGCAATAATAACAATAAAATGTAAAGTGGCCAACTTTTAAATTTTCCAAATAAGGGAGTTAAAAAATATCCCTCATTATCCCTGCTCTGCCCATATTCTTCAAAGAAAAGCTATTGTGAAGATACAATACAAACTTAAGAAAGGTTATTTGTTTTTTCAAAGAGAGAGTTTATAGGGGCCCTTCCTGGTGGCGCAGCGGGTTAAAGCACTGCACTAAGAAGCTTAAACCACTTCCTCAAGAGCTCGATCCCGGCCTGCCCAGGGGGAGATCCACATGGCACAGCAGATCTCTCCTCACCCGCCCGCTGCTCCCCTTAGCAGTGTACTTCCTCGATCTGCCTGTTCTGCTCCCACTCTGCTCCTGGTGAATACTCTCACCCTCTGCATCTCTGGCCTATACCCCAGTTCTGTATAAATAAATAAATTTTTAAAAAATGTTTTAAAAAGAGAGTTCATAAACTTTCACTACCATTTTTGTCTTCAGAACAGTGAAAATGTTGCAGACATGTCTGGGCATGAATTTTTATGACATATTATTAAATAATAGTGGTGAGAGTGTGTTATTTGTAATTACTATCAAATAAGTGTTCATTCTTAACAAGATAAAGTTTCAAATTAGTCAGACTCTAACTCACCCTACTACACAGGAGAAGATATTTTCACACCATACATCTGAATAACATCCAAGATCACAAAGACCTCAAATAACTAAAGAAAAATAAAACAAATAACCCAATCAAAAAATGGGCAAAATAGCTAAATATGCACTTCTACAAAGAAAATATACAGATGGTCAGTAAGCACATGAAAGAATGTTCGTCATCACTCATCATTAGGGAAATGCAAATCAAAGCCACAATGAGCTACCACCTCCCATCTGAGAGACTGGTCCACATGCAAAAGACCAGAAACAAGTGTTGCTGAGGATGTGGGCAAAAGGAGCAAGGCCTTGTACTGGTCCAGTCCCTGTAGACACAGGATGGATATTTCTCAAAATGTTAAAAATGGATCCACCATGTAACCCAGCAATTCCACTCTTAGGGATCTATTGGAATAATAGTTTAAAAAACACATGAATTTGAAGAGACATATGTACTCCTATGTTCATTAGAGCACTATTTATAATAGCAAAGCTACTTAAACAAGTTTATAAAACTAGATGAGTGGATCAAGCAGATGTAGTATAAATGTACTATGGAATACTACTCAGCCATTTACAGTAACATGGATGTGGCTGGAGGGATGATGCTAAGTGAAATAAGTCAGAAGGAGTAAGACAAATGATTGTGTGACTGTATGTGGAAGATAGAAATAGCAAACTAAAAGGTCTGATAAAACTAATAAAAAATAATAAAAAACTCTAAAAATTTGACTATAGAGTTGAGTCTACCAGAGTAGGACCGGGAGAGGTTAGAACAAAACGGAAAGACTATGGACTATGTGAGTTTTGGTGCTGCATGTGGTATTGCTACCATTAGCAATACCTGATGGGGGGGGGTTCAAATAGCCCCCAAACTCAGGCAACATTATAAGCAGGTGCCATCTTAATACTAAAAATAAGTGCAAAACCGATATGATTACACCCTTATTACTTCATTTCGATACAATTTGCAAACTCCTGTGGTTGGTAAATTCCTTTCCTTATATTCAATACTAGTTGTGTTGCAAACTTTAACCCAGAAAATTATATTGAATATCATTCAATTAAAACTTTCTCATTCATGCAGGCAACTTTCAAATCTCTAGTTATATCTAGTGAAACATAAGCCCCTTCAGATGTAGCTACTATGTAAAATAGATTGCAATATAAATGATAATTAGATAATAAACTTCTTATTAAAAAATGGTGTGATAAAGTTCTCCACTCAACTTGGATGAAATTGGGTACATAGCCCCAACCACTATAAACCTTAGCTTCCTCATTGATAAAATGTACATCATAACAGACGCTCTGCCAGGCAGCAGCACAGTGGTGGCAGAAGGTAATATTAACCTCCAATATTAACCTGAGAAATGATGTGTCTAAATCTGTAAATGTATTTACTCTAAAGAGTCCCCTTGTTAGGTTTGCAGTACATTGATATTAAATTAATCATACTATATGCAGCCTTTTTGAATAATACATGGATGTTTGCCATGGTAACAGTTCTCTTTTCTGTTCTGGGACTTGGGTTTCCTAAAGATACTTAGTAAATATTTCCGTCCTTATGCTGACTCTTGATTATTATTGTGAGATCATGAAATGGAGAATAGTTTAGACCATTTTAAATCCAAGAAAACAGAATTGATCTCAAAATATACAAAGCTGTGGCCTATTCAAACAACTTTATGCCTATCAACCTATGAAATATCAAGATAATTGAAGCAAAACCCTAAAACTTCCAGAAGATAACTGCCACTGGTGAATTCAGCATTGTACAATGCAGCAATCCCACCTAGTTATCTACTCAAAGGAGATGAGAACACTAATGAGAAAGGAGGTAAGCACTCCTGTGTTCACTGTATCTAAATTTGCGATAATTAAGTTATGGAAACAGCCCAAGTGTTAAACAATAGACCAGTGAATTAAAAAGATGTGGTATATGAATACAATGGAATACTACTCAGCAATAAAAAGACCCATCATTTGTGACAATGTTGCATGATGTCAGCAAGTTCTTGCCTCATGCTCTTGCCATTGTAAATTTTAGACATGGGCCATGAGGAGTGAGTTTTATAAAGTTTATTCAGTGATAGGGAAGCAGGGAGGGAGCACCCAAGCAGGTACTCCCCAAATGCTCCTGCGTAGGGTCTTTTATGCAAACAATAGCTCCTCGAGGGCCCTCTTTTGAACACACAATGGAGGAGGGAGCTTGCTAAAGATTAACATGCAGGCAGCTACAATCTGAGGAAGTTTGCTGAAGATTAACACTCATGGCCCAAGTCCAACCTCCTTCCTGCTCTTCTAATGGGACAGTTTTGGTGTCTCCAGCTCACGGGCACAGGAACTATGAATTTTCCTTCTTCTAAAATTCTGGTTCTGCCACTTTCATTCTCCGTGGGCCCCTGCCCTGTCTCCCTAACCAGAATCTGTTTCAACAGTGGATGAAACTGGGGGAGTTAATACCAGTCAAAGGCCAAAAAAAGGCAAGTATGTTTTTATTTACTAAGTCTATGACTCAATATGGGTCATTTCTCCTTGACTCCCCTTCTTGTAAGTTATATACTCCATTCATTTAAGCAACTTTGTTGGTTTATGAAGATGTATTACCCACCCAAAGTAACACCTGGCCTGTAGTAGGAGCTTCAGACATATGTGTTGATTCAGTGAGCTAATTAAACATACAGATATAGCTTCACATACATGGAAAAACAATGGTTAATCGTATTATATGTGACTTTTTTTCTTTTTATAATTATTAAACATTCTAAACTGGGTATTTTTTTTTTTGTAGTAGAGTTCTTTATCTTAAGATGTATCATTTCTCTAATGAATCCCAGTGCTTAGAAAAAAAAGTGAAAATTAAGACTCCCTATTATAACTGCAATTATAAGGACTTTATCTGATTATTAAATAATATTTCCCTTTGAAATCAAATTAAATTTGCAATCTAAACAAACATACAGATTACAACATCATTGATGGCTTCTCCTGGGTCCTGCTAAAGGGAACAGGCAATCCAGCTGTTAAAAGTGGTAGAAGCAATACGATAAATAAAACCAGCAAAAGCTGCCTTAAAACAAAGGTCAAGCTGTGGTGAAGCCAGGGAAGAACCCTTTATCATAGATAATTGTCTATGAGTCTACATCTTGCTTCTCTTCTAATTCTGGGGGATGAGACTGTCAGTGATTTCATGGTTGTCTGTGTAGATAAGTGGCAATCTGAAATTTAACTTGGACAATCCTACAGAATGCTTCTGGATAATGAGGCTTAGATCAAAAGGAGAAGGTATGTGAAATAAGTCAGAAGGAAAAAGATACATGAAATATGAAATATGATTCCAGTGACCTGTGCAATAGATAATGCAGCAAAACAGCCAAACAAAGCAAAGTCAAACCCGTGGACTCTGACCGCAGAAAGGTGGGGAGGGAGGTGGTGTGATGGGCAGAAGGGCCCAGGGGCTGGTGGCGGAAGTGACTGGGCTTCTGCTGGGGGGTGTGGTGTGATAGTCAGCCACTGAGGGAGACACCATACCTGAGTATAGACAGTGTTGGGAACTAACGCCTAAAACAAAAAGGCAAGAGCACTTGGAGCTGCTAGATGGAGTTACTGACACAGTTTAAACAGCATCATCATACCGTGAAGGCAGATACCTGGCCACAGAGCCCCCGCTCTCCTGATGGGGAAGGCTGGGCAGTGCCAATAGTGTCATTTTTTTTTTTAAAGATTTATTTATTTATACATATAGAGCTGGGGTACAGGCCAGAAGTGCAGGGGTGGTGAGAGGATTCACCAGGAACAGAGTGGGGAGCAGAGCAGGCAGACTGTTGAAGTACACTGCTGAGGGGAGCAGTGGGCAAGTCAGGAGAGGTCTGCCGCGCCATGTGGGTCAGCTCCTGGTGGGGATCGAACTCGTGCTGAAGTGGCTTTAGCTTCTTAGTGGTGTGCTTTAACCCAGGGAGGGCTCAGCTTCATTTTTTAAAATGAACTAACTCAAGAAAATTTTGAGTTCTTTATAGGGTACATTAAAATGCATTTTTAAATATCCAAAGTTGGGCCTCCTTGGTGGCACAGGGTTTAAGTCTCAGCACTGTGAAGTGATCACCAGCCACTGCAGCATGAGTTTTTTTTTTTTTTTAACTTGCATCATATTTTGAAATAAAATCATTTTATACCTGATTTTATAAAGGTTTAGCGATGTCTTCTGCTATCATACCTAAACTACCTAGTGGTTTCATATACTACTGCTAAAGAATCATATTTATCCCTGACGGGGTACAAGAATCTAGGAATCACGGAGAGTAAATGTATCTTCCCTTATCACTGTTCACAGGTGTCACTTGCCACTTTAAGGCACAGTCTTGTCTCCCATTGAGAGAAAAGGGGTTTTACAATCTAGCTGGAGTTGAACTAAAATTGCTTGGTTTTGTTTCAAGGCACCCCAGTGTGAAATGGTCCATCTGTCGGTGGGGCCTCACCCACACGCTTAAAATGTACTGCAGGAGCACACAAAAGGGTCAAAATTGGTTTATTTACAAAAGGGGAAAAGAAAAGGAAACAATTGGAATTTTTTACGGCTGAGCTAGCTTGGAGCTCTGCTAACAAACTAACTGAAAGCCCCAATCACACTGCCCAGAGAGCAGTTTCCTGAGCACAAGACTGAGAGACGCAATGGCGCCCTATTTATCCCCCAAGTCCCAGAATGCTGCTCAGCCCCGCCCTTGGGTCCTCGCAGTTCTCTCCCTGGTGCTGCTGGGAGTTGTAGTTTTCAATCACTGGAGTAGGGGGTGGAGTCCAGAAAGCTGGAGTAGAGGGTGGAGTCCACAAGACTCTGCAGAGTTCCTTTAGGACATCCTTCCCCTTAACAATTTTATTTCCAATACGTTTGTCTTTGAGGTGAGAAAGAATATAATTCACTACTGCACACCCTCAATGCTTTGTGCAGACTACCAAGTAATCTCAAAAACCGGGGCGCAATGGGTTGGAGTGCAGCACTGTGAAGCTGGCTATAGCTGCTTCAGTGGGAGTTTGATCCCTGGCTTGGGGCTGACCCACATGACAGCAGACCTCTCCTGTCTCGCCTGCTGCTCCTCTCAGCAGTGTACTTTGTCGATCTACCTGTTCTGCTCCACACTCTGTCTCTGGTGAATCCTCTCACCTCCCCTGCCCCTCTGGCCTGTACCCCAGTTCTGTATGCATAAATAAATAAAATCTTAAAAAAAAAAAGGGGGTTGCGTCAGATAACGGCTCTGCTTAACATCTAGCCCTTTATCTTTAATGTCAGATAATGGCAAATACAGTCTTCCAATTCTAAGTCTCAGCCTCTACCTGTAAGAGTGTCTGAGCTTGGGGACGAATGTTCCTGAAACTATCAGCTGCAAGTAATCCATAGACACTGTAAAAGGACACTTGATGACTGGTTATAGAGACAAAGCTTATGTAAATTACAGTTAAATTTCTTAAAATCAATAGAAATACGGATACAGACACTCATTCACTAAACAAGTATGTCCTGTGAGAAGGCCAGCGATTAAAATAAATCCGTTAACATTTAGAAATGTTCTCCTGCCAGGGGGCGCAGTGGGGATGCCCCTGGAGGTAGAAGACTGGGGTTCAGGTCTGAGCTGATGCTTCCAGCAGCTTCCTTGCGAGGCCTGGCTGGCTCCATTTTCCTGATGCTCAGTTTCTTCATCTGTTCAAGGGGCGGATTCTACTGACGGTGACTTTATAGCGTTTTTAACTGAAAGGAGAGCCTGTCTGTCAGTAGTGGATGCGCTGGCTGCCAGCCCCTCCTACCCAGCTGTCAGGACAACATCTTGCCTTCTGCTGCTTCAAATCCTGGGACACTCACAGCAGGGGGTCTCGAGAGTGGGGTTCATAAGTGCCCGAGATGCAGAGGTTTGGAGTCAAGGGCTTCCTGGGCCCCATGCCTGGCTGCACCCCACCAGCCTGAGCTTTCTTTCTCACTTGCCTGCTGTCTTCACAATAACTTGCCTTGGTCACGTGCTGAATTTCCTAAGCGTTGGGTCAGGAAGAACAATGCGGATCAGTGTCCCAGGAGAGTTCTCTGTTTGCTGCACCACGTCGGACTCGGCTTCCCTGGAGCTGACGAGGTGATGTATGTTGTCCACAGCCTCACCCGCTCTGCCTGGCGGAGGCTTCAGGAGAGTGGAACAGCAAAACCTCCTTTGTGATTTCAGGACTTAGGAAGTCGTGCCTAATTTAAAATCTCTGTTCCCTGTCTGCTCTACTCTTATACTGGAGTCACCACTGGCACCTCAGTCATTTAGGGAAGAAGGCCTCAGGGCCCTGAGAGGGCACGGAAAGGGTGGCATCTGACCATAGTGGGATAACAGAAGTGATACCCCAACCAGGCAGCCTGCAAAGAGTCAGGGTCAGAATCTGAGACCTGGGGGCCCAGAAGGCTCTGAGATGCAGGATGGAAGAGGAGGTCTGGGGGTCCATGTGTGGCCATATAATCCCCTGAACTTCACAGCCACTATCAGTCTGGATTCTTGGGGAGTTTCCTGATGAGAAAGGTGACAGAGAGGCTGGTGGCTGAGGTTTGTGCAATTCCCCATGAGGCTGAAGGAGACCTACCGCAATAGGGGAAGACCATCCCAGCAGATTGGAAAGAAAGGGAGAGAGGAGAAGGGGTGGGGTGGGCAGAGAACTTGTTATCCATTATGGAGAAAGACGCACTCACAAGTTGTCTTTAACATGGACAGACATAGCTAGATGATGAGGCTGTAGTAACTGGAAAGTGTGACAAGCATTCAGAGGCACAGGCCTTTTGGATGCACCAAAAGGTAGTTGATGCCCGTGGATAAGCAGTTCCCAGCCTTCCAGCCCCAGCCATGGGGATCTATAGGTGAAGCGCTGGTGTGCTTCTCAAGCCTGATATTTTGATATGAAGGATAATAAGAGAATAGCAGGGTAACTGACTTTGATAGGTTTTTGTTCCAAGTCCTTTGTATGCATTGGAATGAAATTTCTAGACAGTGCTCACCTCAGCAGTGGATTTCAGAAAAGTTGGCTGTTCTGTTCCTCACTCTGTCTCTCTGGTGAATCCTGTACCTTGCCCCACCCTCACCTCTGGCCTCTACCCCTGTTCTTGTGTACATAAATAAATACATATTTTTTTAAAATACAACAAAATTGGGCCCTCCCTGGTGGTGCAGCGGGTTAAAGCACAGCACGAAGAAGCTTAAGCTGCTTCCGCATGGGTTTGATCCCCGCCTGCCCTGGAGGTGACCCACATGGCGTGGCAGACCTCTCCTGGCCCGCCCGCTGCTCCCCTCAGCAGTGTATTTCTCGATCTGCCTGTTCTGCTCCCCACTCTGTCCCTGGTGAATCCTCTCACCCTCTGCATCTCTGGCCTGTACCCCCAGTTCTGTATGAATAAATGGATAAATCTTTAAAAAAAATACAACAAAATTAAGTACACTAGGGGCTTGTCAGTTTGATGTATTTTTTAAAGAAGCATCATTTGATTTGTCTAGCTTTTCATTTGATTTGTGCTTTGATTTCTAGCCTCTATTTTGGAGTTATTTCATTGTTTTTATTAAAATCTCAGGAGATAGGTGATTACTATCATGATTACTTCTGTGTGACTTTAATCTTTGTTATTTGTTAAGAATTGCTTTATCTGGCTAGTATATGGCCAATTTTTATGTATTTGCATTCTTGCAGATGTGAGTTTCAGTATTTTCTGTGGTGTCAAGTTGATTACAATATCAGACTCCTAAGTTCATTTTTGTATTTCCTTTATATTTCTGCCAATTTTTAAAAAATATTGAGTTTTATGAATATGAATTTAATTTTATGGTTATTCAGAGTTTTTCATGTTAAGTCTTACTATCCTTGATTTTTTAAAATATTTGGTTAATAATCTCTGTGTTTTCTTTGGAATACATAGCCCTCTTATGCTTAATGTAATTGGTGATATATTTAGGTCTGTATCTATCATTTAGTTTGTACTTTCCTTTTTTTTCTTAACTTTTCTTTAGTTTCTTGTCCCACTTAAGTCAATTAAATTGTGTCTTTCTTTATAGTTTAGAAGTTATACCCCCTTTTCCAATTCCTTTAGTAGTTATCATAAAAAATGTATTTATTTGCTTTATTACCTTTTAAAATTAGCTAACATCTTTATTAATCTCCTGGAAAATATGAGAGTTTCAAAACATACTTCAATTGCAACTAACACCTCCCAGTTGATGATACTGCCTTATATTCTAATTATGTTAACACCCACAAGACTTTCTTAATGCTTTCTTACATAGTAAATGTTTACTTAAATTTATATATGAAATTGCTTTTTGTATCTCATGGCTTACATTTGGAATTACTTGAAGTAAAAATTCTATAATTTTCTCTAGTGATAAGTAATGTTTCCAGTTTTGTCTGTAAGGAAATATCTTTTTTCTTTTGTAAGATATTTTCACCAAGCATAGAATGTTAAACTCTTTATCATTTTCCTGCAATACACTGAAGATATCACTTCATTATTTTTTGAATCCTATTTTTGATTTTGTGTAGTTAGCTTTCAATCTAACTGTAATATTTTGAACATAATGTCTGCTTTTTTTTTCCTGGCTGCTTACTTTTAAGATTATTTACCTTTATTTTTGATAATCTGGTGACATTTAATAATTCTTTATTCTCTTACCAACCCTGAAATTCTTTTAGTAAACATAAAATATTTTACTGAATTTTAGTTATTAACAACAAGAAAATCGATAAAAATGCTGTTATATACTGAAACAAACCCTTAAGCCTCAGAGAGGAAAGAACACCAGTGGACTTCAAGTTTGAGAAATGTGGGCAGAAAGGAGCTATTTGATAATGTTTGTGAGCAGGGAGAATCAAACTAGGAGGAACTGGCTTTGAAAAGCTTTTCATGAAGAACTGGGAGCAGCTGACTGGAAAAGAAAAAAGTACATAACTGGGAGACCTAACCATATCTAATTACTCAGCTGAACATTTCACTTTATAGAAACAAACTTCAGCAAAAAACAGTGGTAATAATGATAATCCTTGAATATCATTACGTTGAAGTTAAATAAAACTATGTACATTTTAAAATGAAAGTTCATGTAGAGTTAAAATGAGCATGCAATTTATATGTTCAAGATGGTTCTGATTTCAAACCATTTATTAAACCATACTTAGGAAGCACCAATGGGTAGATTAATAGGTGCACTGATTTTTAGTAGGTGCCATGATCTCTTTTTAGGAAAGGAGGCATACTATACAGGACATTGGCTCTACACAATATACCAAATTGCCCAGCAGAGAAATACAGTATGGTAATGTGCTGATTATCATGATAAATCTTACATGTGTGTGTTAGAAGGTTTAGGTTAAGTGACTCACATGCAGAATCCAGAGAGGATGCTTTCTCCTCTTGTCAAGCTTACTTTAATTTCTCCAAAATTCATTTTGCTTAACAGAACCAGTGGAGTACAAGCCACTCCTGAGAGGCAAGTATACTGTTTAAGCTTTCTCAAACTCTTCACTCTAGCATAGTTTTTCGAATATAGCTAAAAATAATCAGGTTTCAGAATGAGATGAAAAACAGAGAAGACAATAAAATCTCTTTCATTTCTTAAGGTCATTCAATTAAAAAAATGAGTAAAATAATAAATTAATAAAACATAGACAAGAGTTAGATCACCATGTGCAGGCCTGTAATATTTAAAGACATTGAACTTCAAAGTAAGAATATACCCGCATTTTCCAATTAATAAATAAAGATATGTGAAGTAAATCACATGAATAGTCTCAACTTCCTGTGAATATTAGGGAGGTTTTAGAGCATTTCTCTACGCTTTTATATTTGAGAGAACATTCTACAGTTAGAAGTAATAAAGTCATCATTTAAAAAAAAAATTTCAGAAACTGGGATCATTGACAGGACTGCCAAAATTATATTTTTACACAATTTGCAGACAAACTCATTAGAATGGAGTATTCTTTTCTAAGCGTTATGATCAAACTCACTTGGGAACATCTTTTTAAGAAATGGTAGGACAATATCCTTCCTTTTAGTGCATGTTATATTCCTAATCACAAGTACATTTCCCAGGGATCTTTAGACATCTTCAAAGTGTTCAGCTGTTTCTTCAAGTTAGTCTGCCATTAGTGAAACTTCACTCACATACTTGTCGTATTTGTTTTTTTGCTATCTTTATCCAACCCATTTCAAGATCTGGAGATGAGTTCTGTATTACCTTGGACAGGTGAAGCATGAGTACACCTGTTACTCAGTTCCTGGGAGCTGTTTCTCAGATAAAGTTTGGTAGCTAAGAAGACTCTGTCTCCTAAAGGGAGATGATGAGAATCAAGCAATGGAACAGAGATGACTAAGTAGCTATAACCTAAATGCTACTGTTATAAGCTGTCATCATTGCAGACTGTAGAAAGAACTCCATTGAGTCCCAAAGAACAAGACTGAAGAAACCTTGCCTTGTTCTTAGAAACTGCACTTCATCCTTTATTAGGGGAAGAAGAGCATGGAATTTCACTGAAACTGAACAGATAAATGCGTTTCATCATTACCAGGACACTCTCGCCATTGGCACAGCAGGTCTGTGCTGTTGACTCATTAGATGCCATTGAGGAAAGTGAAAAAGAACAGAAAGTGAGCGGGTCTCACTAGAGAGATTATGTAAAGAAACTTCCAGATGACTTAGTACCTTAGAACACTTGTTCTCAGTTCTAAAATAGCCAAGAATGCCATAAACTTGTTTCTGACAGAGATTGCATGGCTCTAATATTTATTGCAAATTATAGTCACAAAGGGCAACGGAACACAGAGGTGGTGCAGACAATGAGGGCAAAGAAAACCTTAAAGTTTAGGCGGCGCTGTTAAACTGCAGCCCAGGGAAGCTCTGCAGCCAGTGTGCAAGCCATTGGCCTGTTTCTCG